GAAGATCTTGGCACTACACGCATCGTCCTCCAAGTAAAAGGCGTTGCCGGATGCCCAGTCTTTAGGTATGCACTGATTGTGGGCGGGACATCGGCAACAACTTTGCTTGCCTCCGCCCCCATCACGCAAAGTGACTGAGCGTCTTTTTGGCCTCAGCAGAGACTCTTCTCTGTGAAAGGTGGCTATTTATATTTTATGAATATTCCCCACTGGTTTTTGACGCACTCCTAAATTAAAATATATTAAATAGAAGGCATGCACAAAATATTCTTTCCTGTTCTTAATTGGTAGAAAATTGAGTCATCTTCAAATTTTCTGCTTCAAAAGGGTGTATCTCCCGGTTTCAAAAACTTAGATTCTCGAATACTTTTCCCCAACCGTCTGTATTCATATAACTATCAGGCAGAATATTATTACCGACAAAGAAATGGGAGACTGGCATGGCTATTTCTGGCTTATTAGCCGTCGTCAGCCAGTCATACCCAATCCCGGAATATTAAACACCTGGGGCTCGGTCCCGCGACCTGTTAGTTAGAAGTCCAACGTCTCTAACCTCTGAGTCACGGGCTCGTTGTCTTGCCGGTCGCGATCGGCAATATACAATGATAGAGGGGCGCTCACCGATCGGGCTCGAGATAGAGAGAGTCCGTAAGGCACAACGAGAAGAGTGAGTTCCCTATAAACGATCGCTGAGCGCCCTTCTACCATCACATAGGTATATGTAAATAGTTAGGCGAACATATATACAGTAGGTGGGCTAACTCATGAAATGTCCACCGAAACTCCGAAATGCGCTTTCGTTTCGAAGGGATTAATTAAGCAGGGTTGTCAAACTAATTAGCATGCAGCATAATTCTATAATAATTCAGTTACCTCAGGATGCCGGCTTTCGAACGAACTTCATTTCGGTTGCATGCAAAAACTATACTCCAAAAGTGGCTACTTGCGTAACATGCATTTTTCTCATTGATTTTCGATGCTCTTAAAAATCAAATTACATTTCATGGAAAACATGCATAAAAATATTCAGAATTTTGCTCATTCGGTAGAAAATTACGTCTTCTTTCAACTTTATACTCGAAAGAAGGGTGTGATTCAGTTTTCAAAAACTTTCAATTCCCGAATAATTTTGAACATCACCTGCGGTTGCATTTGCATTCAGGGTTTCCAAAGTACAAGTCGTATGTTTTCCGCGTAGGAAAAAGCATGCATTTCTCTGCGGTATTAAGAGGAGACCATATGGTGTTCATAAAATTTAGCAGCGAATTTGAGCCATATTGTTAGCTTTACAAGTCACAATGGTAACTGCAAAGACATGACGTTTTATGAACGGCCATTTCACGTTATTTAAAAATCTAACAATTAAAAACTTTTTAGGAACCGAATTATACCCTTTCTTCGAGTATATAATTGGAAGAAGGCGTCACTTTCTACCGAATGAGCAAAAGAATGATAATTTTTATGCGTGTTTTCCATTAAATATAATTGGACTTCTAAGGGCATCGAAAATCAATGAGGAAAATGCGTGCTACTTAAATAGTCATTTTTTTGCAGAGCATAGTTTTGCATGTAGCCGAAAAGGAGTTCGTTCAAAATCCGGCATCCTGATGTAACTGAATTATTTTAGAATTATGCTGCATGCTGATTAGTTTTGCAACCCTACTTAATTAATCTTTTCGGAACGAAAACGCATTTCGTAATTGCAGTTGACATTTCATGAGTCAGCCCGCCTACTGTAGGCATATATTGGCAGAATAGTATTACCGACAAAGACAAAGGAGACTTGAATGGCCATTCCTAGCTTGTTATTTGTCCTCAGCCAGTCATACCCAACCTCAAAATGTGGAGCACCTGGGAATCGACCCCACAACCTATTATTTAGAAGTCTAACGCCTCTAACCATATACTGCCGTGAAATAACCACGTAGTGCATGGTAGCACTTGGGCTTTTAACTAGAACGGACGGTGCAAACCACTGGTATATTGATATATGCATTGTCTGTGTCTCACGGCTACTACCAACTTTTCCAGACACGGACTTTGGGTCGTATTTGCATTCCAGTTGGATCTGCGCCTATTCATTTTGTCCAAATTGCAGGATGTCGGATGTCACCGAAGTTCAGGGCTTCCTCTGTCCCGAGTGCATGCTCAGCCTGGGCTCTTCCGAGGAGCTGATGGCCCATTTTAACTCAAAGCATGCTTCTGCAACCGACCAGGTTTGTGCTTATTGAAGGCCTTTCAAGTTTCTATGTTACTGATTGTTTAAGCCACCAACTCCGCTATTATAATACTACTTGCTATATTTCAGTAACATTTTAAATTGAACTTATTATTGTACCAACACATCGCCTACGCTTACTGACATGCACATATGCAAATTTTGTCCCCGGACATATTATTTATTT